TGCATATATGCACAACCCAAGGACACGGACAATGGTGGGGAGAGGGGCCGGGGAGGGGAAGGGACGGGGTGGAATGGGTCATTGGGGAGAAAAAGGGACGTCTGTAATATTTTAAACAATAATAAAATTTAAAAAAAAAAAAAAAGAAAATGACTTTAAATACTGTGAACCCATCCTTCAGTAACTGAAAGCGCCTAACCCTGAGAGCCACAACAGAGGCAGGCTGTGCCCTTTACTGTGTGATCATAGAGTTGTTCTTGTTGTTTCTCTTTTCTTTCTGTAAAATGGAGATATTAACATCTTTTTTTGGATGGTTGTGAAATAGTATGCATTACAGACCTGACCAGGCTCCATGTGCAATGCTTGGAGTGTGTGTAAGTGTGATTTCAAAACAACAACTGTTACATAGAGGAAAATATATAATAGAAAATTATGTTTACATAGCCATACCTATACATATTTCAAAATTTTTGCTCAAATTTTAATCCAACTATCTCTAAAGGGAATTTTAGAGATTTACACTATTATCCAAGGGTGATCTTTTTCTCAGAGAGCTAGTTAGTCGGTTGATTCTTTCTGTGTGCTACACAGTCTCCTGCTGTGCTCTGTTCTTTCCTAAACTCTGGTCCCTTCATTTAGGGGAAGGCTGAAGCTGCTGATGCTCCCACGGCTTGGCCCCTCCTGGGCCGATCCGTTCCGTCCAAGCCAGGCTCCCCAACCATGGCTGAGTCAGCGCTTCTAGACAAGTCATTACGGGAACAGCAAGCAACACTACACAAGACAGAATGAACGGGTCAGGAATATGTGAAGAAAAATATACCGATCCGTTCCCAGGGACAGACTCAAACCATACACTGAAAGATGGATGGGGCGGTGGAATCATGCTGAAAGAAAATAAATGTCAATATATTTCTAAAGTGCTCAACAATGATCAGATATCATTACAATTATTTAAAAATTGCATGAGATCTTTAAAATTTTCAGTTTCTACTGATGGAAAATCTATTACTGGATGTTCATTTTGAATGACAAATAAGATGTTATATTATATCATGATTTTGTCAGGCTTTTAACACTCAAGAGCCACATAACTCCTGCAGAACAGAGGCCTGCGGTCACTTATCACATTTTTTTTTTTTTACAGAGAAAAAGAAATCTTAAGCATCAAATTAAACACAATAGCAGTTAATTTTTAACATCCATCCTTAGGTGAAAAGGCCAGAGCATCTCTGTGCAGAAATTTTTCAACAGTGATGTTAGACAAATGGGTTTAGAGTGAAATATATAAGCTTCTTCAAAGTGTTGGCTTTGAAGGCTGCCTTGCCCAGATATAAAAATAGATGGTTAAAATGTAAAAATCGATTCTAATGGCAAACAGATCACTGCACTCTCCATGCCCAGGATATTAGGAAAACCTGAATATTTGATTTAGTAGCACCTGGGGAGTAGGCAGACCTGAAAACCCTCCAATAACCTTGAAAATATCCACTTCCTCTAAAAATGAACGCTCCAATCAGGCCACACCTCCCCAGCCCCCCTTTGTCCCTTCAAGTACAATGATTAGAAGGCACCGGGCATCATTTGTCCTTGTAAGCGGGCTGTCTTCCCCAAGCAGCAACCAGCAAGTGAGGAGGTGGGTGAGGGACAAGTCCTCTGGTCTTCCCAGGCGCTCTCCTCTCTCAGCCGGGCAGCGAAGCCCCAGGAGGCCCCGCACCTTTTCCTGAGTTAGCTGTCCACCAGGCGAGGG